CTCTCATGCTTCAGAATGTGTCATCGAGGTGAAAGAGGAATTCATGTCCAGTGTATTTGCTGAGGTGTATACAGAGCTTGTAGAGCATAGAATAGGATTTTTGTTTGTCTAAAAGAAAAAATATGGTCCAATGTTCATTGCTTTATTATTATTACTTTATGCTAATATTTACAAATTTAATGCAAATTTTAATATAGATTCTGTATTGGTATGTTTATTGACAATCCTAAGCACAAATACAGGGTAGGCAGAAAATGGATTGAGAGCAGCAATGAGAAGGAATTGGGGGTGTTGGTGGATAAGAAGCTTGACATGAGCCAGCAATGTGCACTTGAAGCCCAGAGAGCCAAGTGTACCCTGGGCTGCATCAAAAGAAGTGTGATTAGCAGGTCAAGGGAGGTGATTCTGCCTCTCTACTCCACTTCCGTGAAACCTCACTGGAGTACTGTATCCAAATCTGGGGCCACCAACTACGAAGGACATGGACCTGTTGGAGGAAGTTCAGAGGAGGCCACTAAGATAATTAGAGGGCTGGAGCACCTCTCCTATGGTTGAGAGAGCTAGGGTTATTCAGCCTGGAGAAGACTCCAGAGAGGCCTCAATAGCAACCTTCCAGTACTTAAAGGGAGTTGGACGTTTTGAGAGGGCGTGGAGTGAAGGGACAAGGGGGAATGGCTTCAAACTGAGAGTGTGGGTTTATATTAGATATTAGGAAGAAATTCTTCCTTGTGAGGATGGTGAGTCAACTGGAACAGGTTTCCCAGAGAAGCTGTGGATGCCCCATCCCTGGAAGTGTAGATTTTTTAGCAACTTCATCTAGTGAAAGGTGTCCCTGCCCATGGCAGGGGCATTGGAACTGGATGGTCTTTTAAGGTTCCTTGCTGTGATTCTGTGATAATGGCTTTATCTATGAGGAAACAGTGCACACATAACAGTGTGAAACTGGTCACTTCATCTGGGGAGAGACCAGATGCAAGAGAGGAGCAGATTTCAGTCGAACTGAATTGGCTTGATACAAAGTCAAGGCAACACCAGAAGGCAAGACAGGAGTATGCAGCTGGGGCTACCCAGAAATGAGCTTGGGGTGGATATCCTCATTGGCAGTTACTGCCTGTGATATTGTTGCATTACAGTATTTATATCACATTACCTTCAGTTTTCTGGGCACTAAAAATCCCTTCACTACTAAGGATTTTATTGCTATTAGATTTCCTGCACAGGTCAATTTGCCTCTTTTATGATTTATGCTGTGAGTGGATACTTTGGTACTTTGGTGTTATACCACCTCCTCAGAAAGGCTCATTCCAGCCTTCTTTAGATCTGCTGTGGTGATTTTTGAGTACTGTAACATTTTAGGTTATATATGAGGTGGGGCCTAGTATCACAGATATAAAGGTCACCTTGAATACAATGAAAACCAAGGCAGTGGGGGGGGGTTGGTTGGTTTGTTTGGGGAGATTTTCTTTGGGGCTTATTTGGGTTGTTTTGGGATTTTTTTAAGGTGTTGCTGGCCAGGCAGAGTTGTGTATGTCTATACTTTTCCTGTCTTAAAAAGACAGCCATGGCTGCATAGCTGTGTAAAAATAAAAAATTGAATAGTAACTGTAACAATTGCTATCATTCCTAGCTCTATAAAGCACACAAAACACTTTCCTTTGATCAGTGAATTAGTAACATTCGATGACTTTCATTAATCTTTACATATCTTTCAGTGCTTTCTATACTATTTCATTTTGTAATGATGTGCAAAAGAAGAAATAAACAGATTGCTAAGGAAAACCAAACACTGGCACAGTAAGAGCCTCACTACTAAAACAGTGATTACATAAAATTAGTTATTTTCAAGCCTCTGAAATACAGCAAAAGGAATTCCAGCCACTCCTTGTTTAGGTGTTTGTGGTATGGTTGAACTGATATGTAACAGATGCATACTGCTTAGAGAGCCTAGTTTTTTCCCTACTGTTGACTGCACTCTCCTAAACCTATTGTCACCTCAAGAGAACGGTTCCAGTGTTCCCTCTTTAAAACAAGTGTTTTTGTCCCTGCGGGGGAAACATTACAGCTGAACACCTATGCAGGAATGACAGGTGTTCCCTGAGAAAAGCAGCAGGACCAAGACTTGTTTGTCATATCAGACAAACTAATCACTGCAGCTTCTCAGTGAACCCTTGTGTATTATTATCACATACTGTTGCTTGTGTCCTTTATTTTACTCCAACCTTATCTACAATGTAAGTCTCTTTCTGTATTTCGTTCCAGGTTTTAAAGTGCTACAGGTTATTTAACATATACTGTCCCAGTACTAGTACAGTGTCGTGGTTTAGAAATGGTACTCCCCAACTCAGTGTTCCTACCAACCAAAACCACACTGCTGCTCTCTCTTGCTCCCTGCCTCCATTTTCCCCTTCCCCTTTCTGCTGTGGTGGGATGCAGTTGAGAGTGGGAGGCACAAAAGGCAAAGATCACAGATTGAGATAAGAACAATTTATTGGAAACAGCAATGAGATAAGAAAACCAACAATAACAGCAGCAATATTAATAACAAGAGTGTACGAAAGACAGTGATTGACATGCAGAATGCTCACTGAGCCCAGCCTGACCACAGCTGGCACCACCCTACCACTCTCTGGCTTGGTACTGGTGCCACGCTACCCCAACCACTCTCTCCACCGTGTTTTCTTAACCATAAGGAGCCCCTTCTCCTCAGAAGAAAGAGTCCCTTTCCCCTGCCCCTGGCAAGGACATGAGGGGTATGGAATAACTGCTGTGTTCTAATCATGCCCCCCTCCCCACTACTGCAAAAAAATTAACCCTGTCCTGGCTGGAACCAGGACAGACAGCAGTATTGCTTCAGCAAATGATTTCATAGACCTTAGTCAAGGTGAAGATGGAATGTGAGAATATCTTGAATCTTGTACAAATCACAGACCTGTAAATGAGAAAACTTAATTTGACAGTTTATTTAAAATGGCATAGATGTCAGACAGGGTTTTCGAGCTTTAGGTAATAAAGCTTTCAGACTTGAATTGGCTGACCTCATCAGCACACTTCAGCACATAGCTAGCTAGCTTTAAAATATCCACTGAGGTTGTCTTGATTACTCATTTAGCTCTTCATTTGTAAATTGAGTAGCTCAGGTCCTGACTTGTTACCAGGGCTGTAGTGTTGAGGTCAGTACAGGCTGCAGGACCCAGGAAGTGTGTGAGTCAGAACACACCAGTCTCTGTTGCTGTAACTGCTCTTGCTGACAACCCAGCCAGTTTGGTAACTCTAGTCTTAAAAGTCTTGGACAGCAGCATATACCTCAGTAACTGAATATAGGATCTAAAGTTAAATGGTGTTCTCGACAGTTCATGTTATGCAGTTGCAACATCCCATGTATCGCACAATGATTGTTGTATATGTATTTTTTGTGGGAACAAAAGGGAAGAATATGTTTAAAAATATCTATAAAACAGTCAAAACATAATTAGTACTAGTTTTTAACATGAATGGTAAAATCAAGTAAGGAATATCTCAACTCAGGATTTCTGTTTTAAAATTGACTCAATGCTTTCATGTTAAAAATTGAAGTTGTATTTGGAGTGATTTAAGAAATAACATCCATGTAAAGTAAGCCCATTATTCATGCAAAAATGATGAGTTTAAATCTGAGTGTTGTCAGACAATTTGCTGAAGGATCATTCTTTTTTTGTTGCTCCAGTATTAGTCACTATACAAAATAAAAAGTTGACTCTTACTGACAAATAGACCCCAAATAAGGCATATAAAGTATCATACATGTTTTCTATTTCAGTGTAGTTTATTGGTAAATGTAGACAAACTTGTCTACTGTAATATAAACAGTTTAGTCCTTAAGTTACATTTTTTTTTTCATGAAAGAGTGACATTTTCTGCTTTTTCCAGATAACAGTAGCTAGTGTTGTCTTATCAGGGAAAAGGTTAGCTGTAGTTCTTTAAATCGTGGAGAAGATAAGAACAACTTTGAGTAATGGAGCAATGGTGCAACAAGGCTTTTGTGTTTGAGAAAAGATTAAAGACTAAAGAACTTCCCAATATCCTGTTACAATCAGCCCTTTTCTTCCCCACATAAAAATTTCACAATCACTTAGAAGTATGAAGATGTTAATCTATACAGATTTTTTCAGATAAATATTTTAATCTATATAGGTTATTATAAAAAGCTCAAGTTCTTAAACTTTAAAATTAAAGCTGTCTGCAATATAGAGAATACTTCAAAATGATGTGGGATTTTTTGTAAGAGAAATTAAATTTAATATTTACTTTTTATTCTTCATGTGGGGTCTTATTTGTGTCTCTGAGCCTTTTTTGCAGATATAATCCCTCTAATTTAATCTTTTCTTAGATACCCAAGAATATGTGTTAAAATCTCTATAAATTGTTTAGTTGCATTTCTTGCACCTCTAAATGAGTATTTACCCCCTATCTAAGACAGATTTTCCTGATGTCAATGATGAATACATTATTGCACATAATGGTGGATAGGCCCAGTTAATTCTAGCTCTCTTGCTATTATTATTAGCAAGTATGTCCCATAATCCTTATCATAAGTTCAGTTAGAACTGCTTTAGTAGCTGAAAGGGAGTTTTACTCCCATTTCATTTCCTTTCCTTATACCTGGCCTGCTAATGTTTTCCTTCTTTACAAACTGAAGCTATGTTTTTCTGCTTCAGAAACTGCTGCTTGAATTTAATGTCTGGACTACATATCTGGAGGAAGAGAGAAGAGCGAGCTCGTTGCTTCTGCTATCAGTACTAAAGCTGATTCTTCTTTCTAGTTTTATCTTCATATTATTTTTTTTGTTGTTGTTGAAAATGAAAAGCATCAATTCTGCTCTTATTTTAGGATAAGTAGAATTTACTGAGTTTACTCCGTGATTACGTGGGTAAAAAAAAAAAAGAATCCAAAAGCAGGAGCTTTCAGAAATGCCAGAAATACTGTTTCTGGCCATATTATTGTAATACGGCTTTTAACATACCTGTTACTTTAAGTTCTTGCATTATCTTTTTTGAATAGCATTGCACTTAAGCTGATCTATTTTTCTTTCCTTCAGTAAAGAAGAAATTGTTAATGGTGTTTATTACTGTATCAGGTGAATATGTGAGTATTTTTCTTTTATGCCTTGCATTTCAGAAAGAGATAGCTATTATTGTGATGGGTTTTGTGTACCAGTGAATCTAGGAGAAATGGAGGGAATAAATAAGCAGGATTAGGCAAGGGCCATGGCAAAAGTGCTGTTCTTGTTACCTCATTCTATTCTATTGGTAGAGATTCTACATCACAGGATAATTTTTTGAAAATGTAGACCACTGGGGACGTTGTGCAGGCTCTTGCAGAAGAGGTCATGGTCTAGAAAAGGTAAATCTGGGAAATATCCCAGGGAAGTTGTTGATAAGTGTACTAGTGAAATTGTGACTATATTTGTATAATTTGCAGGATTGGAGAGAAACAATAGAGGCAAAATACATAGACAGTAAACTTCAAGTATGAGAACAATGCTTGCAGAACATAAACAGGTCAGCAGGAAACTAGCATGAGTTTTTCCAATGTTATTTGAAGAGGTAAGTGGTAGTTTAAGATTCTGTATAAATCACATTCTCATCTGTATAAATCACATTCTCATCTTCTGTTTTCTGTTTGAGACCTGAATTCTTTTTCATAGCAAAATGTAAGATCTCTGCAATTTTCCCAAGGGGATATTTTGCCTCCTGGACACATCTGTACACCCAGTATCTCATTTTTGCATAGGGGGAATCAACTCAGAATTCATCACTGCAAAGTTAGAGTTGTCATGTATCTTGTTTAATGTTTGTCAGCATTGAACTTCCTCAGCAATTTTTTTTTCACTCAGTATTTTCAGTAAATATTTTTTCAGTATTTCTCGTCTTAACAGTCTGAATATTGTCAGCCAAAATTGTCATATCACAAGAAAACCACATCTAGAACATTTATGAACAGATTTGCATTTGATGTTTCTACCTTTCTAGCAGTAGCTGCTCAGCTAAGTCTGTGAAAAGGGTAGCACAAATTAAATTTTTGTCCTAACAACCTTCTTGCAAGTTTTCTTCAGCTTTTTGTTGTCTGACCCTTAACAAAATGTCACTAGAAATTTCAGAGGATTGTCTGAAAGAAAAATTGCCAAAAATCAGGAATGTCAGGATCTTTGGAACCTTTTCCAAATTGTAGACTTGTATATCCATATGCTTCTCTGTCTTTACTTGTTCCTGATTTATCCAGGGAAACCAATTTTATCTTTTCACATCCTTTTTACCTTTCTTAGGTTAAACATTGGGTTATTTTTGGCATTTTAGGTCTGTATGAAATGTGATCTCTAATGGACAATATTGGAAGCATAATATTAAAAGTTCTCACCTAAAAATCCCTTTACAATGAAGACGCTGAAGAAAGGTTCTGCTGCTTCTTTTGAGTTCTTTGAGGCTACTATATATCTAATATTTATACTACTTGAAGAAAATTAGACATTTGTCACCGAAAAGTGCAGAAAGACAATATAGATAAACTTGATGGATTCTTGAGAATGAGCATACCTATCACATAATAGCAGAAGCTGCAAATTTAAGCTGAGTGCAGCATCTTTCAAAGGGAATTGAATTTCATACTGTCAGCAGTGTAACATAACTGATTACTTGGTACTTAATAGCAGCTTTAACTTAGAGGTACTAATTTTACATTTAGACTCCCATTAAAAAGATAAACACCTTTAAACTGACCACTCAGCTCACTTAACCGTGGTGTCTGTTTAGTATGAAAGACTTTAGGCATTTTTTTCCTCTTACTTTTGGGTTTCTGAGGCCCTGTCTAGTACTAAGCCTTAACAACTTGTCTGCCTGAGACCTTAGGGCCACACAGAAGTCTCTGATGAAATTCAGGAACATTCAAAGTACCTTATATAGCTAAAATTGTGTCAGATGACCCGTGAGAAACAGGTACCACTGCAAATTCAAGTTAATGTTAAGATTCCTGTCAGCATAGGCAATCATTTCAGCCCTTTCTTGCAAAGCAACCAAATAAAGTATTACTCAAACATCTGTCAGCAGAGACTTGAGGGTCTAACCCTCAGCTAAACTAGAAACCTATAATGAAGGACAGCTGGTTCAAACTGCTTCTGCTGAGACAAGGCTTCAGCACTTCTTTGATATATTAGGAAGTCATATTTGTGACATTTGTGATATAATTTTCTAGAAACAATCTGTCCAACCGAATTTATGCAGTCTAACTCTTCATTAGACTTTGTTATTTATCTTCATATTATAAAAATTATCTGCATTCAAATGTGTTGTGTCTTTCTTTAAAACTGCTCAAATTTGCTGTGCAAGTTTTCATTTGTAAAGAAATTAAGTTTTTAATAATTCTGAGATAAGCAGAAGCCTTCTGATCTCTTTTCCATATCCCTGTCCTGTACCAAGCCACTAGAACCCAATCCCTTCCTTTACTAAAATGGTAAATATACTACTATTTATCCCTAATATTCCCAGTGGCTTCTTCCTCTGCTTTAATGTATGTGCTTTCTATTTCAACCTCTTATCAGAGGAATGGACTTGATTCCCTTAGATTCTCGTTCTTTTTAGGTATTCCGATGCTTTCAGAAGTTTTTCAAAGCTCAGGTTCATCTGAAAGCTGAGAACTAAGAAAAACCAAGATTTCACATTGCATTTTCAAACGGGGTAAAAGAGGGAAGATGAAGGGCTGTTTTTTAACAAAACGGTGGATAATCATTGTCACCTCAATAGAAAGTTTAACTGCTCTTGAAATAATTTACTAGATAGTTCATTTACTTGGAATAAGGGTAAAAAAGGCCACTAACAATGGTTTATAGTGCATTCCATCACATAATTGCTACTATTCTACTAGTAATAACCTGAAATTTAGAGTTGTCTTGAGAAACAAAAAGTCTGAATCCACAGGAAACAGGATCTTTATCTCCTCATTTTTTTTCTTCTGTTGAATGGTGCTGCTGTTAAGAAGCTATAGAATAAGTACCTAATTGTCAAAACTATTGCTCAACCTGCAGGCTTTTTGTACTGCTGTTCATTTTGCTATTCAAGCTTGAATTTTCTGTATTTCTTACATTGCAAAAGACCTGTGTTTTCTCTGGTAGCCTTTTTGTATGGATCCCTGATTCTTCCTTTCAAGCACTGTCTAGAAACTGTTGATGACAATTTAAATTGCCAATTGCTTGAGGAGTGAATATCTCTTGTGGTATCACAGGGAAGAATATTTTTTGAAAAGTGAATATATACAACCAGAGTCCTTAATTTCTCAACCTTGTAGATGGAAATCCTGATGAAGCTAGAATTAGGGTTAGCTGTCTTAGACAAAACTGTCACTTTTCTCAAGAAAGCGTAGAAAGATTTTTTAGATGAAAAGAGGTTAGTTGAAGTGAAAAATTTTTATAAAGCTAAGCAATTACTGACCATTTGAAGGATCTTTTTTAATACACACTGTAGGAAATTAATAAGATGGGTTTTATTACAAGCAGGGGTTACCATGGTTGCCTCGTGCCGAGATACCTGGAGATCATTTTATTTGGGGAGTTGGGGAGCCATTTTGTGGGCGAGGACTAGTGAGCTGCTCACTGTTCTGCTTACAGTTACCTATTGCTGCTTACAGGGTTGCTCACAGTTACTTACTGTTACTTACAGTTACGGTGTGTGTAAGGCAGTAAAACCAGTCTGAACTCACTGTCAAGGGACCATGCAGCCGGGGGGCAGGGAAACAATTTGACAGGTTGGTTAAAACAACCAATGGACTGCAAGAAGAAGACTATATCACCTTTTGAGAAAGAGAAGAGCCAGGCTTGGCATGGGAGGAGCGAGGGAGTGGTTATGTAAATCAAAGGGTCTTAAAAGGGCTCATCCCTCCCATTTGGGCTGTACTCGGACCTGATCATGAGTCAGGTGCATCTAGCATGATGTCAATGAAGTTCTTTGTTTCACTTTATTTGACCATCTCCAAAATTTTAATTAGAGATATTTCTCTCTCACACTACGATGTTTCTTCCATGTTTGAAGGTAAGTTGGCTATAGCAGGGCCATGTGCTTGGTTCTGAGGAAAAAGTGACCCTAAGAATTGTTGACTGACTGAATGTAGATAAATGATTTTTTTTTTCAGTCTCTAACCCTACATTCATTTTCTCATATCTGCAGGTATAGTTTTATGCTGCCTTGACCCATTTTATCATGTGTGAATATGACTTTCCGTAGAAACCTGAGGTACAATGTAAGATACAGCTGATTTTGAGATGGTTGTTTTTCTTGTTGTTTTGTTTGCTTGTGGTTTTGTTTGTTTGGGTTTTTTTAACAAACTCTAAATGTGTTTGTAAAACTTCTAAGGATTTTATGGAGATTTTATGCAGAGTTTTTGTATGGCATTAGTGCTTGAAAGCTAAAAGATGTTTAAACTACTTTTGTATTGTACTTTTGTGTGCTAAGGGGCTTTGCAATGTTCTGCCGTTGATGAAATAGCTTGAACAAGAACAGCCCTTACTTTAAGTGACCTCTTCTTATGTTGAGTTGTTCAAAACCAACCAACCAAATCCCAAACAAAAATACACAAAATCTTTTTTCTGGTTTTCTCCTGTTTTTCTCTTCAGAAAAACAACCAGACTGCCAACAGCCAATCAAATTACTGCTGCACAGTATTTCAACATGTTTCTTCCTTCTAATGGTTAGTCCATCTAAGAAAGATGGGTTACTTCGTGAAGGAGACATTACCACATTGTGTTAGTCACCTGTCATTGAATCATGGGAAGTACAGATATCAAGCATACTGCAGGTCTCAGTTTTGCTGACTAGTTTTCAGGATTGAGAAGGAAGAGAAAAATCCAGGAATATTGCTGCCTGTTCATATTTGCATATGCACCACAGTCTATTTTCTAGAGCTAGAAAACCTGAACTGATATAAAAATTGGAAATGCATTAAGATGATTAAATGATTTGAACTCTAGACTTGGAATTTGATATGTTAAATCAACATAGAACCAATGGTAATTGAGAGAAGTGCATTGGCAGATAAAATATAAATAGTATTTCATATAATTTAAAGGGAAAATAGGTCCAAATGAGTGTTTAAGTACTTAAGAAAAAGGAAAATTTGAAGAATCATTGTTTTTACTAAAGCAAATATCACTGGACACCTATTGAGACTAAATCACAATGATCAGAAAATAATCACTAAAATTGGGCTATTTTGATTTGATACGTTACCTAATAATGGATTTTTTACTGGTTCCAAATATTAAACTCACAACCCTTACAGGTGAAATCTGCCTTACCCATCTGTTGTTCTGAGATAAATACAAAAAGTAATATATGTCTCTAAATACACTAAGTCATGGAATGCTTTGGGTTGGAAGGGACCTTAAAGATCATCTAGATCCAGCCCACCTGGATAGGCAGGGACACCCTTTACTAGATCGGGTTGCTCAAAACCCCATCCAGCCTGACCTGGACACTTCCAAGGATGGGGTATCCACAGCTTCTCTGGGAAACCTGTTCCAGAGAATTACCACCTTCACAGCAAAGAATTTCTTTCTAATATCTAAACTAAACCTACTCTCAGTTTAAAGCCATACCCCCTTGTCATATCATACCATGTCCTTGTAAAAAGTCCCTCTCCAGGTCTCTTTGAGCCTCCCTTAGATACTGGAAGGCTGCTGTAAGGTCTCCTTGGAGCTTCTCTTCTCCAGGCTCAACAAACTCAACTCTCACTAGCCTGTCTCTATAGGAGAGGTGCTCCAGCCCTGTAGCCAGCTTTGTGGCCTCCCATGGACTTGCTGCATCCTTCCACATCCCTCTTACATTGAGATCTCAGAGCAGGACTTAGTACTTAAGGTGGGGAGTCACATGGGTGGAATAGAGGGGCAGAATCACCTCCCTTGACCTGCTGGCCAGGCTGCTTTTGATGCAGCCCAGGGTACACTTGGCTTTCAGGGCTGCCAGTGCACATTGCTGGCTCTTGTCAGCTTCTTGTCAACCAGAGAAAGCCATCTGTGATCACAGAATATGCCAAGTTGAAAGAGACCTACAAGGATCCCTCTTGGCCAACTTAGTCCAACTCTTAGCCCTGCAAAGGACCATCCCCAAGAGTCACACCATGATCCTGAGAGTGTTGTCCAAACACTTCTTGAACTCTGTCAGGCTTGGTACTGTGACCACTTCCCTGGGGAGCCTGTTCCAGTACTCAGTGACCCTCTGGGTGAAGAACCTTTTTTCTAATATTTAAGCTAAACAGACCAAGTGACCTCAGCCACTCTTCATACAGCTTCCCCTCAAGGTCCTTCACCATCTTCATTGCCCTCCTTTGGATGCTCTCTAGTAGCTTAATGTCTTTCCTGTATTGCCGTGCCCAAAACTGCACACAATATTCAAGGTGAGGCTGCACCAGTGCAGAGCAGAGTGGGACAATCCCCTCCCTTGCCCAGCTGGCGATGCTTTGCCTGATGCCCCCCAGGACATGACTGGCAAGGAAGGCCTTGGCTGGTGCAAAGTTTATAAGCATTAGTCAGGCAGTCTAATCCAGCATTGTGTCTTTAGAACATTTAAGTTAATTTTCCTTCTAATTAAGTAAACCTGAAGTGAACCTTTACCTTCTTGGAATTGAAACATAGAACATAATGTGAGTTGACTGAATTGCTCGCTAATTGAAGCAATCAGTCAAGATAACGAGGGAGGATTTTCTAGTTAGTGGTGGTGGTTGGGGGATAGAAGAGACATTCAGAAACTCATTGAAAGTAGAAACATGATTAGGGGTACAGACTCGGGAGGATTTGTGTTAGGGTTGGCAGTGAAGAAGTTGTGTACCCTTCACTCAGGAATGAAATTTGAAAAGATCGTTGTTTATGTCTGTTGTACTGAGCTGTTTTATACTCTTACTAAGCAAGTTTTTCTGATATATGGCAACCATAGAATTACTATTGACTTAAATTAGAAAAGTAACTGCAAGTTCTAATTTAAATTGAATTGTCACTTCAGGGTGAAATTTTTACTAGCTTTGTGTAGTTCTTACAAGTATGTGATCTGGATGGTGTTCAGCACTCATTAATCACTTTTGCATACCCATTTACAGCTGGATTTTCAGATCTGGTTTTAAAGTTCATTTGACATGCCTTCCAGAAAGTAAATATGTCAGTAAGTTTTGGTTTGTTTTACATACTCATTCTTCTGGTGGTTTAACTTAGTACAATTCTATACTGCATTCAAATATTCAGAGTTGGTCAAGACTAGTTCAATTTCAGATTACAGAAAGTAATTCAGGAACACCTGGAGCTGAGATTTATATCCTTACCTAAATTTTGAAAGCACTGTGTTTTTATAGCTCTTCAGAGGAAAGACAGGAACTGCATTAACACTTGTTAGAGCAACAGTTAATGCAATGCTGACTAGAACTTAAAGCTCTCAAATATTAATATTAAAATGTCAAAAAAATAAAGGGAGGGAGACTAAGTTTAAATATTTGTTCTTTAATGAAGGAAATTGCTTTTTCTCCTTTAAGAAATAAACAGTCAAGTTATTTGAGAGACATTATAGTAACGTGAACAAGGCTTGCTTCTTTATTTTCTTCTGATCTGGTATTGAAAGTAAAGACTCAAGTCCTCCTGGAAGTTATTTCACTAGAATAAGTATGTGCAGATTTTAAATCCTCACAGGTTATGTACACCAGTCGTGAACTTGGAAACTGTTTTATTTCTCAATTGAAATATTGCATTGAAAGTTGCCTTGTGCTTAGCTTTTTCTTGTGGCAAATTCAGACCCAGTATGTTGGAAACCTAGATTTCAAGTTGCAAGGATTTGAAAACATCTAACTTTGGTTTTAGTGGTTTTGTGTAGTAATGTTTTATAATTTAGAAAATTTGTGTCTGCATAAAGTTGTACTCATATTTAAATCCTCCTCCAGACATGGTGAAAATTACACTCTGCGTGGCCTCAGATCCCATAGTCTTCATGACATAATTCCCTTGCTTAAAGTAGATAGTAGAAGACCACTAATTATAAAAATTCTGGCAGATTTCAGCACTCCAGGCTGCTTTTCCAAACAGTAAAATAGTGAAATCATTCCATCTTTTACTTTCTTTAGAAAAGTTCAATCGGCTGGAATTGTCATTCGTCACTGACAGCACTCCATTCATTATCATTTTACTGGAGTTAGGGTGATAAATCTTATTCTGCCATTTCTCTGAAGAGTATAAAACCATTCCAGCACTACATCTGTTAAGGATATAGTGCTAGTCTTTCCATGCAGCAGAATTTTGAAGATTTAATCATAACAGAACCATTTAGAGGTGTCTATTCATGTATTTGAATCTTTTGACTAAGAAAGATTGGTTACTTCATAAATGAGAAAGAAATATGTCTTGGGATAATCTCTTCTATCCAAGCTCTTTTCTCTATAAAATGGGATTTTGAGATATACTTGTTTAAAATACCTTCAGGAACTTGAAAGCGACAAGCGTTTCCAGTATTTCTGCAGCTGTGTGAAATGTTTTGTACCTAAAAATGAAGGTGATCAATTATGATTGCACAAAAGGGGCAAGCAAATTCTGTTAAGACTGTCAGCAGAAGTAGGTTTTGTAACTTTCTTGAGAAGGATAGAACTTTTTCTATTAAAAGCACCACAAAATAAATGAAAGTTACATATTTGATTTTTTAAATTTTTTTTTCTATGACACTGTGATGCATTATTTTTCTCTGCCTCCCTAAATATGTTCTGGAGAAAACGAAATTTTTTCAAGTATTAGAGTGAACTAATGAAAGTTGACTAATCTGTCTCTAAACAGACTGTACTATCTTTTTCTCTACTGCCTAAATCCCCATGACTCATTTATGCATTGTCTTGTCTCCTCTCCCTGTATCCTTTTCTGCCCTTAGCCTAGTTTGTGCTATTAGTAGGTCTTACTCCTTTGCTGCCATTGTGGCCCTACTTGGCATGCTTTGATTTGGGTTAGACCCAATCTGGCCACATAGGCTGAATACCTCTGAGTAGTTTGAATGTTTTAGTTCCCCGAACTCAGCAGTTGACAAACTGTTGTTTTTGTTAAACTTGACGAATTTAACGTTCCGAAGGTATCTGTAAATGTGCCAAATATGTGACAAAAAATGAAATCTAATTCCTCTTGTGAGGCTACCATGCTGTTAGTGGGAAATTATTTTGATAATATACTTTATCATCTTATGGTTTGTAATTTCACACTGTGACTGTAGTTTGGACAAAATGACAAGCATTGATGTAATTTGCAACATTGCAGACTGTTGGAAAATGTTTTCAGAGAGAAATATTTTCTACTATTTCTCAAAATTCTATGCTTATAGATGCCTTGCTCTTCTTGACATGTGTGTTTATTATTCATATATTTTTCAAGAACTGAAATGATTTCACTGATTAAATCATCATATGTTCTCTTTCTTATGATGATTATTTTTCAGAAAACGTACATCTAAATTTTTTTTGTAATGTTATCTGTGGTTTATCTGATATATTTTATCTGAATATGAACAAATATGTTGCCTTATAAATTAGAATAACAGGAGTGTTCAAAGGAGTTATTAAACTAAGTTTGAAAAAAGGTGGCATCAACTTAAGTTAGGATGCCTAAGCACAAAACTGTCTCTTAAAAGCCACCAGAATTTGTCTCTTAAAAGCCACCAGAAT